CAAAATTTCATGCAGGATATGACCCACGCGGTCTTTTGAGATGCCTACTGTCTCAGCTATCTCGCGCACCTTCAATCGGCGGTCTGCCAATACGAGATCGTGGATTTTTGTCATGTTATCCTCCGTGGTAGCCGTTTTCGGGGCACCTGGGCGGTTCATCAAAAACCGACGTGCGACCACGTTGAAATTCGTTAAACCAATTTTTGACGGTCGCCATCGAAGGAGAAGAGTCACCGTATACAGCATCCAAGCGCTCTTTGATTTCGCTGCGCGATTTCCCTTCCAAAAACAAGAATCGAATCACCGACCGATATTGCTCTTTTTCCATTTTTCTAAAATCCGCGGACACGCCCGCTTCCACACGCGGTCAAAACAAAACTACGAGTTCGATTCGGCTGAAATTTCGACAGTATCCGTCTACGAGAATGTACTACACGATAGTAAATTTCTCTTGCGATAGTGGCGCTATCGGGCGGTGAGGCTAAGTACTTATCGGACCGCCCTCGTATATACATGTGTCTTTCATAATTAAATGTTTGCATATATAGACATATATATATCCAGTCAACAAAATGACATCAAGTGACATTAATAATTTATTAATGACGCCTTTAATGTCAATAATACATCATTAAGACGTCTTTAGATATCATCCTGTTACCTGGAGACACATCCCAGCAAATACGATGTTACATGCAACGTACATGTTAATTAAAATTTCCTACTCAACAATGTAGCTATTATGTAACATGTGTGTTATATAACATTTACATGTTAAGTAGGAAATTTTAACTAACATATATATGTTACATGTAATTATGGTAATATACATTATGGTTACTGAAATATGAGCTCTGTTATCAAACCTCGAGTGAATCTTGATTCAAATGGCCTGTTAAAACAGAGGGAAAACCAGCATTTGTCGTTAAATATTTTACTATATCTAATGTTGATTTTATCGTCACGCAAAGACCTTCAGCAGTTTGTCTCGTTAAAAAATTTTCCTCTTTAATAATACTGTTACGTCATGCTGACTCAGCGAACCTCAAAACTCTTATATAAATAAGAGAAATCGAATTTATTTTTACTGATTACACGTCGGAATGCGCTCAGGCGTGTTACCACACGACCTATCTCACAAGTTATCACACGAACAATTTCTGGAAATTTTGATACCCCGAAAATACTAATAATCTTAACCTAATCCTTATTTGGTTTCCCACGAACTTAGTCACTGATACCAGCATCACGACATCGTTCTTATAAATATCGATATTTACTTCTTAAGATAGCTGCCACGATTTTTTTTTATTTACAAAAGTCTTTCGAAATCCTCTTATTGCCACATGCATCTTATCTCCTATAAAATAATCATCTGGAACATTTCCCCCAAAACCCCACTCTCTCAACCGAGCTGACTTTTTGAGAAAAGTCAAAAGCCTCAGTCACTTCTCGCCGATCCAGCACCCAAGACAGACGCTTCTCTCCAGCACCCCTTCAGGGTTTTCTTAACAATCAAGCCAACTTGTGGCTTAGACCAACCAGTATTCTTCTTGTTAATTATTCGGTGCAACGATCTTGTGCCTTCTTGGGTCATTGAGAGCGATCCTGCCAAAACCAGCTGCCTGTCCTTGGCGCAAAATTTGACGCATCTATCCACACAGAGACGCAGCAACCACACCTTTCATTGTCTACTAAGATCAGAAGAGTCCAGCAGTAAGTCATTTATATTTTCTTTCATCTGAGTGACCTCTTTTCTTTTCATTTTGTTTCACCTCCTTTTCTATTCCCCTTGTCATTCCTCCTTAACTGTAAAATACAATTGCAGTGGCTCAAAATTATCTAATCCAAACGGACCTGACTACTGCAGGAGAGTACGAAAACCGCGAGGATTTAGAAATAGCTTTTATTAATTTTTCATTACAAGATCGTCCGGATTATATTGTCCGCCCTAACGAACCAAGAATCCCGAGCTTATTGTTCCTTCCAGATTCTCCTCCCGAAACCCCTCCCATATCTTACTCTCCTACATCCTTGAGTCCCACTGAGAACCGATCTCCGACAACCTCTCCGTTCCTTAGAAGTCCATCCCCCACACCTTCCCCGTCGACCTCACCGTTACGAGGAGGCACATGTGGTTTCCACACGGCGTTACTTCGCGGGCTCATCCCCATTCATTCTCCTTCTCCCTCAGAGGCGTCCTCGCGACGATCCTCTCCCTCACCGCCAGCCACCCCGACACAAGATCTTTCCTTATCCGAATATCCCTCGGACTAATTAAGAATTCTCGCCAGAACCCACCACATCATCACACCCATGTAATTACACAACACATATGTATACATAAATAAATCATACAAATTTTATTTCTTCATAAACTTCCGCTTAATCATCAATAAAACAAATTATTTGTAATTGCAATCCAATTACGATTTCCGACTAATTATTCTCAACAAAAATTCTCCCTTCCTTCAACCGTTGCTCACGGTCCTATCCCAGGTAAAAGGATTCAGTTCCTTGACCTAAATCAAGGACCACCAGCGTACGTCCGCGTCAGATAAAGGGATCGCTCCGATCCTTGATCTGTACCGCTGACTTGCGAGTACGTCGGAGCTTGCGAAAGCAAGCGCCAAGTTGCGCTCCTCCTCCAGGGCGTAACAGTACCATCAAGGACATGTTGCTCCCAAGCACCTAATTTTTCAAGAGATGTCTCTAAAATGTATTAAGAAATTGAACGATTAGCATAATATTAGCTTCTTCAAAATACATAAATATATAGACAAAAAACGAATATAAATTACAAAACAATTATTAACTAATTGAAAATATTTAATTTACTTTGTAGTCCGTGTTTTCAATAGTCAAACCTTCAGAAACTTTATTTCGATTTAGTGCATTAAATAAGTTATTTATCCATTCACAAAAGTTTGCAGTGTTATCACATTCTTGTAATTCAGGTAAGAAATTTTTATAAAATCTCAATCCATGAGACATCGATTTACTAAAAACCTATAACAATGGCATTTATATAAAGATATATTTTGTAAACTATTGGACTGTTCTATTAAATAATCTGTTAAAACGTTAAATAAAATACTGTTAAGATGTTTTACTTTAGTAGCTAGACGAACTCTCATTTTAGCTGCGTTAGTAAGTATTAAATGATTAGTTGTTATTTTTGGACATATTCGCATTAGAGCTGGTAGCGATTTATCTTTATTATATAATATTCGGAAATAATCCCATTTGATACGTTTTTCATCAGGATTGAGCTAAAAATAAAAACGAAAGAGATTAAATATTTTAAATTTTCGCATTGTGAATAAATATTTGACTTGGTTTCCAACTTTGCGCCGCATTCTTTGTGGATTTGTTTTTGACGATTTGTGAGAATTCGTGAGAATTTCATTTCACTTTCTTAGAATAAGGATCGATTTTATATTGAATATACAGAATATCAAATTGATCCTCATTTTCAAGAAATGAAGTAAAAGGTTCACAAAACGTCAAAAACAAATCTATAAAGGACGTGGCATAACGTCAAAAGCTAAATGAAATATAAGAGAAATTCACTATTTTTTAGAAAAACAATAATAATACTTCGATTTTCCGAAATCTCCCTTAATAGTACATTATGCACGAAGTAACACACAACCACATAAAAATTGAGTTATTATTTTACCTGTAATGATGTACTATATAATCGATTTCTAATAGTTTTGATAAGGTGTGATGTATCTGAGAATACATATATATAACGTCCGTTTACAGTGGGGTGATTAAAAACATTAATTAAATCATCTTTTTCTCCAGACACACCTACAATATTCCAAAATTTTCTATTAGTTGCAGCACCGTCAGTAATTACACCATGAACTTTAACATTGATATTCTCTAATAATGCAATAGCCTATAATATGAAAAAAATAAAAACAGTATGAAGCATATTACATATTTAGCAATTTTTTGTTGAATTATGAGAAAAATATGATATATATAAAAATATTTGCACTGCATATTGTATATACCTTAATTACTAGTTGCGCAAGTACTTCTACTGATACAGGTCCCTTGGAAGCAAACACTGCTACTGGTTGGGAATAAGAATCTGCAAGTGGCTGAAACATTATTACTAATCCATGGCCTGCTTTATCATCAAGATTAAATGATGGTATCCCTTCACTTCCAAAGTCAATCAATCCTGTATATGTGAGATTCTTAGAGTTCACATTAACAGACTCTCTAAGATGTATTTCATCGAGCAAAATTACACCATGTTTTTGTCTCTCTTCTTTTTTTTCCAATGCTAATTTAAACATCTCAAAAAATTTTGTGTCGAAACCGCATGGTGTATCAATAAGTGAAATATATCTAAAAACCAATTCATATATTGCATTGTTATATAAAAATCGCCATATATTACATACCATATTATACATATTTCTAAGTAGAAATTATATTAAAATAATTAAAAATGTACGTATATTCCCAATGAGCAAAATGAGTGCAAATTGAGCGCAAATTTGCAGCAAATTCGATCAAAACTTGATGCCAAAACTATATGCAACTGTGTCCTTTTTAGGATTGTGTTTTGACGTCAAGGCTTGATGCGGGGCAACTTGCAGTAAATTTGCAGTAAAAACCGCGCAAGTTTTGTAGCGCATAACTTAGCACCAAATAAGCACCAAACACCGAGCAACACTTGCGCACAAGAGCACACGAGAGCAAATTGGCAGCAAATCCGCAGCAAGCCTTGCACTCAATCAGCTGATCGAGATGGTGGCGACGTGCGTTGGGTTTTAAATGGCTCCTGGACCTATATATTGCTAAATTTTAATTACAATTCTGCATTTAAAAAGGGAAAGGTGTATATAGAAATAAATATTTGACAAAACAGACTGTGTAATTTATTATATAAATATATATACATATAAGATCACGATATTCGTAATTATCATTATTTACATGTAAACGAAAGGTGAGAAATGAAATATATGCGGTGGGACATATTGACTTGTGTATTCTATATAAATATTTTACACCTATAGGTACTATTCTGAATTTTGAAATTTTGACTACAAATTCATAATCAGCAATTCTAAAAACCTTTAGTAAAACGTGAATTAGACGCAAATTATTTCTAGAAAAAAGTCAGACACGAAAGGGTTAAGTCACATTGCATAAGTTTTTATGTTATGACTACGAAAGAAATATTAGTATACAAAACTATTCAGAATTCTTATTTCTACTTTTCACTACATGAAACGAGCTAACACGCGCACGGTAATCGTTACATATTACAAGAATTTACGAGAAAAGATTACAAAAAAAGTATCAAAACTTGCGACCAATTTTTCACGCGTCAAGAGAATACTTAGAAGAAAAGATCTCTTTCTCATTTCTTCGCGAGAAGTTCGCGACATCGCGTTCTGAATTAACGTTCGCTCAAATATTTTCAGCTAAGAGTCCCGTTTTTTCGGGACTGACGACGATATGGTCCGCCGGCGAAGATGCTGCGCAAACAGTGTGACGCCTGGCGATTTGAAACCCGCATACGCCAAAAACTGTTCCCATTGGGCGACCCAACCAGATACACGCAAATCGTCTTCCACAGTTTCGATAAGGACGGCGACGGTTTCGTCAGCTTCAGCGATCTTCTGGATGCCACAGCATCGATCGTGAACGGCATGGTCGATCAGCTTTCTTGGATATTTGGGTGAGCAGTAATCGCTGTTAGTAACGGATTGTCTGATTCCAGGTTCATTTTCGAGCGCAACCTGAAAGATTTTTATTTCGTGTTAGTTAAGAAGTTCGGTTTGATTTTCTGTAACTTCTTCGGGCACAGACTGACCACTTTGTACTTTTTTCTTGCTGTTTAATGATGGCTGTGCAGAGAAAATTTACATATATAATCATTTTTCCTCGGAATAATACTCAAAGTTAAAAAGTGACATTTAAAAATGTTAATATTAGTCGCAATAGAAATTTTACTTGATTATTGGATATTTATTAAATATTTGATCACTAATACTTATTGAAGTCAATAATCTCGAATTATAACATGCGAAATACTCTCTGGATTTACTTTTCATCAGATTCTACGATCTTGATGGAGACGGTTGCATCACGAAGCGAGAAATGTTGGTCATAATATTTGCGATTTATGAGATGGTGCAAGACGCGCAGACCATCCAGCCCGCAGTTAACATCCAAGTGGACAAGTTCTTCAAGAAGATGGACGCAGACAGAGACGAAATAGTCACCAGGAAGGAATTCATAAACGGTTGTAAAAATGTACGAGCAATTAGTTTCCATAGCATCTCGCGATACGACATCGTTATTTTAATGATAATGAATAGTAGAAACGTGTATACATTTTGAAATTTAATAAATATTTTATCTTCTTACAGGATACCATTATATACAACCAGTTGAGTTTATTTAATAAGATTTGATGACCGAATGAAAACGTCCTTCAGAGATTAACGAGCAATTTATCTACACACGCGTAAAGTCATTAAAATACTTGTAAAGCCCGTGTCACCCGATTTCTCCTCTTAAATAGTACATACATTTTCTATGTTTATCGTGAGAATTCCTGCGCAATATGTTACAGTCGCGATATCACCGTAAATGATCAGTCCATTTCATTAATATCACATACAAAGGGCTTTCAGACCAGTCTCTTTTGTGAAATGTAAAACATGCAGGCGAGGAAGAACGCGAAGGCCAGTGCAAGTAATACTTTATCGGTGACTTCGCATTTACCATATTTTCCTAAGAGCTTTCCCGATTGCACTATCACTTGCTGTTGATGCTCCAGCTCGTTTCTCGTGTTATCAACTTTGTCAGAGGATGTTACTGAAACAAAACAGCAAAATCGGTAGAATCGTAATAATTATTCTTAAACAGACAATATATAGTGAGGCGATAATAATAAATAATAATTTATCTAACAAAGAGAAATTACATGGTGCAGAAGTAATCCTTGCGGTGGTAACGCTTTTTTTCAGGTGATTCCCAAGATTTGAAGGTCATCTTTGTTTTTTTTAATGGAATGCTGTTTCTGAATTTATTTCTCGATAACAGTTATTAGAAGAAATACAACAACCTATAATAAAGAACGATTCAAAATCAGTTATGATACAAAAAAACATTTTAATAAATTTTATTACATTAAAACATTTTATTTAAAAAATAATTTAGGAAAAAACGATAAAGGATTTAGATTTTTAAAGCTTAGTTTATTAGAAAATAAAACTTTGCTACTATAAGACAATTGTTTCAGTATATTTTCTGTTAAATATTTTTCTATTCTCATATCTCATATATTCAAGATATTCAAGATAAGATAATAGTTACTGCTTCATTCTGCATGATAGATATCTAATAAATTCCATATTTTTATGAAATGATTCAAAAATATAGTACGTACACAATATGTCCAATGTATCAGCACTTCTCTGAGTTGTCTCAGCTAGATGCCTTACGATGCTGAATAATTTGTCTGTGATTTGGCTAGAAGAATCTGTCAAACTTTGTTTGTCTCATCGTTTACGAAGAGCATTTTGCCGCTCCTCTGGTAGAGAGAGCAGATTCTCCCAAACTAATTTATCTATGACACAAGTGCTAATGACATTAGCCTTGCGAAAGACCGCCAAGAACACATTTAATTGCTCCTTATCTCAACAATGGAAAACAACTGTCTTCTTCTTCTCATTTGGTTCGGTTTCAGCGACAGACGCTAATCGCTCTATGGAGGATTCTAACACTGCAATTTTGGTCCTACCTTCAGCATTGAGTTCGTCTAACGCTTTGTACAACCCAGTGCATTGTTATATGTCCTTCATAGAAAATACATGGTGATTTGTTATTTGCCTTATCATTATAATATAATTCCTAACATATTATTTATTATTGTAAACATGATCCTACTATTTATTATTGTAAAACATGATGTTAATTTTCTCTTCTTCTTTTCTTCTTTTTCCGGAATTGATGTTAATCTAAAGTTGAGATTGAGGTTATATCTCATAGTTTATGACATAGAATCACACATATATATACATATATTTACTTGTATTAAAGCGTTCACTTGAAGATGATCCTTCACAATATTCTGACATATTAGTTCTACCGTGTAATTCTCGGAATTCATTTATGTGTAAATTATTTACTCCTACGTGTCACTCCTCTCTGTATGCTACGTGGACAACAAAACTCTGGGGCTCAATTATTTGGTCTGTTCTTTTCAGCTGCACTGCGGTCACTGCGGAACTAGTGCAATAAGTTAGAATGAGACAACTATATTTTTGGTAATTATTCAGTTTAGCCACATCATCTCCGATTTTGATGAAACTAGGCTCATTCAACGCGTTTTTGCAAAACAAACAATTTTTTTCTGTAGCAAATCGTCGCTCTGCCTTCCGAAGCGAGATATTAAGCGTTAAAGCAGATAACAGTTTAAGTTATGAATCCTGTCAGATGGATTGAATGTAACAACACGAACAAACTGCACGAAGTATATGAGCATCACCACACACACACACACACACACACACACACACACACACACACGCACGCACGCACACACACAGACACACACACAGACACACACACGCACGCACACCACACACACACACACACACACACACACACACACACACACACACACATCGAAGGGGGTGCGGGGGGGCCTTCGACCCCCCCACCCGCACCCTCCTCGATGGGTGGAACTCGCGTCCGTGGAAAGTCGCAAACTCACATGTGACACAAAGTCATATTGTTCTAGGTAATTATTTAGAAGACGGGCCTCACCTTGGATTTCGCTCAAACTCACCTATCTTGTATTTTAACGTGTAGAAGCCGAATCTGCAAATCTAAAAATGGTCGCTCGGCTTTAGTTTGCGAGAAATAAATAGTTAAAAAGTGACACATGCGAGGTTAGGAAATCTGTCATGTCGGTAATACAGAGACTTATGGATATAACTTTCAAGGCGCAACGAGAACGAGGAAGATGCGGGAGGGGGATATGTAACAAATGAAAAAGTCTCAAACATGTATATACATGCAGTACCACATATGTACACACACCACACACACACACACGAGAGGTGCAAGGGGCGCCTTCGGCCCCCCCTTCCGCACCCTCCCCGTCCTCGTTACACGTGGAAAGTTATAGCAACTTTCCACGTGTAACGAGGACGGGGAGGGTGCGGAAGGGGGGGCCGAAGGCGCCCCCTTGCACCTCCCGTGCGTATGTGTACATATGTTGGTACTGCATGTATACATATTTTGAGCCATTTCATATATTAAACATATGAATTTTTAGCTCATGTATCAATGGTTATTTTTGTTGTGTAATAACCACTGATACATGAGCTAAAAATTCATATGTTTAATATATGAAAATGTCTTTGAGGAGAGGGCTTCGCCCCTTCCCAGCATGTACTATTTTACACTTTTCGACTAAAAAGAACAGACCATAAGTCTCTGTATTACCGACATGACAGATTTCCTAACCTCGCATGTGTCACTTTTTAACTGTTTATTTCTCGCAAACTAGAGCCGAGCGACCATTTTTACTTGCAGATTCGGCTTCTACACGTCAAAATACACAAGATAGGTGAGTTTGAGTGAAATCCAAGGTGAGGCCCGTCTTCTAAATAATTACCTAGAACAATATGACTTTGTGTCACATGTGAGTTTGCGACTTTCCACGGACGCGAGTTCCACCCATCGAGGAGGGTACGGGTGGGGAGGTCGAAGGCCCCCCCGCACCCCCTTCGATGTGTGTGTGTGTGTGTGGTGATGCTCATATACTTCGTGCAGTTTGTTCGTGTCGTTACATTCAATCCATCTGACAGGATTCATAACTTAAACTGTTATCTGCTTTAACGCTTAATATCTCGCTTCGGAAGGCAGAGCGACGATTTTGCTACAGGGAAAAATTGTTTGTTTTGTAAAACGCGTTGAATGAGCCTAGTTTCATCAAAATCGGTGATGATGTGGCTAAACTGAATAATTACCATATTTTTTCTCACTTTAACTTATGCACCAGTTCAGTAGTGCGGCTAAAAAGAACATATTACTTAAAAGCGTACGAGATATGTCGCATGCGACAATTGTCACCTGTGACAATTATCGCATGCGACTCGAGAGCGGTGTTGTCGTTACTGTCAGGAGACTCTTAACTAATAGAGAAAAAGCAATAACAAGAGCGGGAATTTTTCTCCACATGACGATTAATAGAGATGGATACAAAAAGCAGATATAATATTGATAGATATGGAAGCAAGTAACTTACTTCCATAGATGCATCTAATGCTGAAGATCTTTTTGGATGATGGTATTGCTCTACGATATCAATAATATTGTCAGCCTGTCTTCTAGTTAATCGAAATAATTTTATGAATTGGTTTTCTAGAAGTTCAAATGGAACTTCTCGGGTTCGGAAATGTCTCCCATTTCTTTGTACATGTCTTTCTGCTTCAGTAAGCATATCAGCACCAATAATATTTACTATATTGGCCATATTAACCAACTTCTGTAACAAAATTATTTAAGAGTATACGCTCGAACAATGTGTATAACTAACTGGGATGTTTCCAAAACTTACCTTATTCAAAATGCAATAACATAGACAACAATATAGGCTATGTTCTGATATTCACTGCCAATACTGAAAATATATAGTTTATGAAAATTTATAGTTTGTGTCACGTAAACTATAAATTTTCAGCGCTGGCAGTAAAGTTGGGTAGATCCAAACTTTTGAAGTTAGGAATTAAAGCTTAAGGCCGATTTCTCTCAGTAATAAATAAGATAAGCCAATAAGAAAAATTATTTAGGCACATGTACACGTTTTCACGCACGTTTCGATCTGATTTGGCAAAATGTCCGACAACGAAGAATATGTTGCTGACACTGCTCAGGTAGAACAGAAAATAACGATGACATCAAAATAATATCAAAATGATGAGAAAAACTCTTTTTCTCATCATGATTCGGTCATTTTCTTGTCATTTCGATGTCATCATGATTTTTTATTCTACT